CCGCCTGGGTCTGCCCCTCTGACCGGCTCTGTGCAGCCCACCACTCTCTGTGGCCGCCTGGGTAGGGTTTCATTCAGTGTCCTGGCCCACAGGGCGTAGTCTGGGGCCACACCTGGCATGGGGATTCTGGGATGTCACCCTCAGCACTCCTCTGTTTCCATCAGGAACAGCAGCCACACCCCCAAAATCAAGTGCAGACTGCCCCTCAGCCCCTCTCTCAGCCCTCAGCCTTGCTTGCGCCCCAGGACCTTGATAAAGGCTGCCTCACAGCCTGGGCAGCCTGTACACAGAATGGGCTTCATCTCCAGCAGCAGAGCGGAGCCTTCTCTGCGCAGAACCCCTGGGCACAGGGACCCTTCCCCTGTCTCCCCAGGGTCTGTGTCCTGGATCTCTTGGACATGACCCATCATTTTCCCTTGGAGGTAGGAGACTGCCTAGGAGCAAGGAGCTGAGGAGACTTGGCTCCAGGGCCCAGAAACCCAGGACAAAACACTCCAGATCCATCAAGGGGTTCAGGAGCCAACCTCAGATGGACACAGGGCTCTGTGAAACAGCCACTGTCAGGCAGGAGAGACCATGCTGACCCTGCAGTCTGCAGGCTCAAGGGGGCTGGTGCCTAAGGGCATGTCCACAGGTTGGCCCTAGGTCCATGCGGGCAGCATTGGAAAGCCTCAGCTACACACTGGACGCAGGTCCAGGCCCCTGGAGCAAGACTGGTCATCCTTGTTCTGACCCAGGCCCAGGGGAGAAACTCGCCCAGGCCAAAGCACCAGCCTGGCCAAGCAGAGTCCTTCAGGACGAAGCAGGGCAGGAGCCCAGGGAGGGACGAGTGTGTAAGGACAAGGCTCCCACAAGGGCAGGATGCGGCCGAGGCATATTCCTGGGTGGCCGCAGGACCCCCAGTGCCCCAGTCCAGCACTGAGCAGTCCAGCAGGGAGCCTACCCTGCTGCCCGCCTGCCTTGGGAGGCTCCAGTGTGGCTCCACAGCAGCACGGTGGGCACAGATATGCAGGGGGCAGTCAATGCCCCTCAGGGCCAGCAGCTCCTGTGTGGGCCTTGGCTGGGGACACACGAGCCTGGGCACGGGGGCCCCAGAGCGGGTGATCAGCTCCGTGCGTAGCTGTACATGGTCATCAGCGAGGCCCGTGAGAAGCTGAGGCAGCCACAGGTGGGTCCCTGAGTCCTCGGCAGCATCGGCAGATGTCTGCCAGGATGTGTGTGTGTGCATTTGTGACGTGAGTGTGGGTGTGTGTGGTGAACAGGCACACGCACACATTTACGTCCCACAGGGTGGACGCTCGTGTGTGGCCACGTAGCTCCCGCTATTTTAAAGGCCTGGAGCTCGGTCTTCTGACGTGCATGGCTGAAGCATGGGTCCACATGTGCCCTGCAGCCCAGCAACGCTGCTCAGGTGCTGATGGCCGGCGGCAGAGTCAGGCTGGGTCACGAGGAGGCCTGAGGTGCATGTCGCGCAGGGCAGAGCAGCTTGGAGCATGCGCTCCCCGTCCTGCTGGACCTGCAGGGTGTTAGCGGGCACGTTCTCAGTGCACAGCCGTTAGCTCCCCGCGGTTCTAGAAAGGAGACAAGAAATGGAAAACAGGAGGACCCAGGCGTCAGGACAGCAGAGGGACAAGGACTGGAACCAGCTGACAAGGAACAGAGGATGGAGGAAGGTTGGCACGGGGCTGGAGGTGCTGGTCAGGATGGCAGTGCTGGTGCCGGTCGGGCGGAGAGCAGAGGCCCAGCACTGGGCAGCAGCAGGCCAGACTACTGAGGCTGGGGCCGCCAGAGCCAGCTGCATCTCGGGCTGCGTTGTGGGTGTGTCCCGAAGGCCCTGCCAGAGCAGAGCAGGAGGCGCTGTCAAGGGAGGCTTGTCTCCCTGGGGCCCAAGGGGTGCACACAGGAAGCCCCTGCCCCCGGCGGGACCTGGGGTGCGGTCAGGCCTGGTCCTGTGGGGGAGCAACACAAAGCCTGGCGGGTCCCTGGGTGATGTCGCTCAGGGAGTGAGCACTGGCGAGGGCCCGAGAGGCTCTGCTCCCTGGTCCTTCCATCTTCATGAGGACTGTGCAGGTTGGGGTGGAAGAAGAGGGCCCGGAAGGTGGGGCTCAGGGGAGGACCACATGCAGCCGAGCCACGTCCTGCCCCGAGGGGGCTCCACAGGCCGCTGTCTGCCCACCGCCATTTCAGAGAGGGAGGAGGCAGGCGGGACAACGCAGGAGTTCTCCTGAGGGTCAGAGGTGGTGGGGGTCT